CGAGGCAGGCCAAAAAGCCTACGATTACTCCGATCCAGCGTTTCTCAACACAGCTGTGAAAGAATCTGTGTTCAGCGCTCTGTTCAGGTTGCAGTCACTCGCCATTCCTTGTGACCTTGTCAGCCAGTGCGGCTGCATAACCCATCACAGGGACCGCGCGACCACGCCGACCGCCCATTTGACCTTGCAACCACCACGCTCGCCTGACCGACGTGCGCCGCTCTCAAAGCTGTAAAAGTACAGAACGCCAACCAACCCACTGGGTCAGGTAACGACACCAACTTGAACGGCAGAAAGGTGAAACCGAAGAGACTCCAAGCGAAAGGCATTTGCGGGTTAGGAGAATGTCATCGAGTAGTAAAAATCGGTATAGTTTGTTCGCACTGCTTGGAATGGTACCATACGAAATGTGCAAATGTGTCCCAACAACAGTTACGGGAGCGAAATAGCTCCCAAGATGCATTTTGGTTCTGTACTGCGTGTTCCACCATCCCACTCGTTAAGTGTTTGCTTGTCCTAGCTGAGAAATGCGACCGGTTAATCGCAGAAGCAGAGCAGAGGATAAATAATAAGATTACTTCAATGGAAGCGAGTATGGACCACAGAAGCGTAGCGGCTGCTAAGCAATCGAATGCTGAACAATCCGCTTCCCCTGAACCGCAATCAGCCATGTCTCCATCCCCGTTGTCTTCTCCAACCTTGGTAGAACGCCGGGCGAAAACTGAATGTACCTACGTGAATCAAGCAGTACTCACAGCAACGAAAATCAGGCACCATTCAAAACGTCTGGTTAAGCAAAGTCCATTAGACCTGACATCTAGTATTAACAAGGATGGAGCAGCCAAACACCAACCCTTGGTACCTGTAGCTCAAATATCTCTTGTCGAGACTAAGCCTCCCAGAACATCGGTTACATATGCAGAGATTGCTGCAAGGGTCCACCGAGAGGCCGCCGTTGCGTCCTCTTCCATTGTAAACACCGTTAACGCAAATAGAGAGAAAAACAGCAAACAATCACTTGTCAACAAGTCTAGACAAATGAGTACCATAACTTGTAGATCGATTAAAAAGGGATCCAACAACAGTGCCCGGACTCTTGTGTGCTCAAATGTCCCTGAATCTACCGCCATCACATTGCGGGATAAGTTGCCTGACGACCAAGACCACTGGAACTCATTGTGTATGCAGATGAGTATCAAAGCCAAGCCCATAAACTTGTTACGAATTACTCGTCATCCGAACTCGCCACACTATGGTGAACCCAGACTTATTCGAGTAATTCTAGAATCCTCCACCGACGTAGAAAACGTTTTGCTCTCCGCAAGCGCGCTAAATCACGAATCCTGTGGGATACGTATCTATCCTGATGTCCCTTGGAGCGCGCGACAACCAAAACGAAACACCGAAGAGCGGCACAGCAAGCAAGACCACCTCAACACAATCTTCATACATGGCATGCCAGAACATCCTTCTAACAATGTTCAAGAGACCGGAAAGCACGATATAGAACAGTGGCGGTTCATTCGTGAAACACTTTCTTTGAATGATGTTGTGGCACTATCGCTCACCAGGATACCTCTCTCATCGAATTATAGAGGATGCGGCCCTAGAATCCTAAAACTTGTGGTTCAGTCAGAGCAACAAGCAAAGGATGTTTTGGATCGATGGCGGAGAAATCGGAAACATCTTCCTTCCGAAATTCGGTTAAAGGTCGCAAACAATTCGCACAGCTCAAATATTAAAGCAACTGAAGCAGCAAGCATACTGACGAATGTACAGAAGTGTAACTTGACTGCTGCTTTAATTGACTCTGACGTAGGTCTAAACCAAGGCTGGGACGCACCTTGGCCGAATCAAGTTGCAAACGAGGTATCACTTACTCATCAAAAGAACGAGTAACTGTCGACCTCCCATCGGTCGCCATTCTGCCACACTTGACAGCTTCACCTCTCTGCGGGCTCCTAGAGACCGAAAAACTGGCCTGCTTGTATACAAATGCTCAGGGACTTTCTAACAAACCGGCTGAACTGAAAGATCGCCAAGCTTCCGGCTCGTATGATGTCATTGGTATCACCGAGACATGGTTGCACACGGGGATGATGGACGCTGAAGTGTCGCTACCCGGCATGTTGCTGATCCGGAACGATAGGCTCACAAAAGGAGGAGGGGTAATCCTGTACTACCGAAACGACTTACAGTGCGAAGCCGTGGAGGATTCAGACTCGCAGTTCCCCGACTCTCTTTGGTGCCGATTGCAGTTAAAAGGTAGGGACGCTTGCCTTATTGTCTTGGTGTACCGCGCCCCAAACTCAACACCCGAAACCGACTACCACCTAATGGCTGCTTTAAAGTGCAGTTTCCAACAAAGTACACTCACATTCTTATCATGAGTGATTTCAACGTACATTGTTTAGAAGCCCCTGCCACGATCGGAGAACAATTCAAAACCGATTTACAAGATCTAGTAACCACTGTTCCTCTTTACAATCACATCACTTTGCCTACTCGGTTCAGAACTGGTAACAGGCCATCTGTGCTGGATCTTGTGCTTACCAACGAGGAGCATATGATTGATGCGTTGGTTTCAGACTGCCCTTTGGGTCGCAGTGATCACGCAGTCATCAGTTTCAACTTCGTCTGCTATGCAGAATATCGGAATGATAACGATGAGACTGTGCGAACCATCACAAGGTACGACCGACTCGCCCAGCTAGTCAGCGCCACAACATGGTCTTTCCTCGAAGAAGAACCCCCGGAAGTCGCCTGGCTCGAGTTCGTCAACACATTCAGTCAGCTGATTGCACAGGCTTCAGAGATAAAAGCTTGCAATAATTGCAAATCAGTTTCTTTACTTAGGAGCAGAACCCGAAAATGGATGACAGTACGCAACGCAGCATGGTGAGTGTACAGAGAAGCTCCAGCACCAGAAACTTGGGACAACTACGTAGCCCAACGTAACCACTGCACTCAATTGTTAAGAGAAGACAAAGCCGCTTATCAGCAGAACATCGCAAAAGCCTTCAGTGCTAACCACAAGCTGCTGTACAAGCACGTTAATGGCCTACAAAAGGTGAGGTAAGGATTTCCTCCATTCAGAACGGCTGATGGCCTAACACGAACGTATATGGAAGCTGCAAACGTGCTGCCGATGCAATACGCCCCCACGTTTCAAAGAATCTTGCCACCAAGCGATTTACCAAGGTTTGACTTCTGCCAGGACTAACCCACATCAATTTTACCGCAGAGACTGTATTGCAAAAGTTGACTTCTCTACGCAAACACAGCTCGCCGGTTGTTAGCACCATTCGTCCATAGGCATTGGGAGCAGCAGCAAACCAACTGGCAGGACCTTTAGCTCAGTTTTTCCAGTGCTCCTTAGACCAGAACCAAGTTCCCGCCATGTGGGAGCTTGGAATAATAAGCCCGATTCACAAAGGTGGAAGCAGAACTGATCCCTCCAACTACCGCCCAGTAACCCTTCTTCCTATACTCTCCAAAGTCATGGAATCCATAGTTGCCGATGCACTGGTGTGCTATCTGGAATACTGCAACCTCATCACTCCTGAACAGCACGGTTTCCGTCGATAGCGGTCATGTGCAACAAATTTACTAATTGCACGCAGTAGTTGGACCGAGGCAGCCGACGCTGGAGAAGGTGTTGATGTGATCTACCTGGATTTTTCCAAGGCTTTCGATAGTCTAGACCATCGGATACTACTATCCAAGCTGCAGCATTACGGGATCGGCGACCCTCTTTTAAGCTGGATCGCCAAATTTCTACCTCAACGGCAATTAGTGGTCAGAGTTCGGAGCTCTTTATCGGACCTCATACAAGTTGAGTGTGGTGTGCCTCAAGGCTCAGTTCTAGGTCCACGTTTGTTTTTGGTGTTTATTAATGACCTTGCACAAGGAATCGCTTCAAACTTCCTAATGTTTGCCGACGATATCAAGATCTGGCGCAGGATCCAGGCGAACGCCGACCATCATCTGCTTCAGAGTGACCTAGATACGGTGTATCAATGGTCGACCCAAAACTTATTGCATTTCAACATCAGTAAATGCAAGGTGCTTTCTATCCGACATCAGAGCAGCTACTCATACCGACTCGGAACGGATGTACTGCAACAATCAACTCTCGAACGTGACTTGGGTGTCCTGGTTCAAGATGACTTGGGTTGCTCCAGGCAATCCGAAAAGGTCTCGAAGACCGGGAACCAACACGTCGGGCTGTTGCGAATGGGCGTTTGGACAAATAAACAGCTCCATATTTCGACAAATGCTCAGTGCGTATGTTCGCCCCCATGTCGAATATGCAATTCAAGTCTGGCATCCATGGCTGAAACACGACCTTAATGCACTAGAGCAGCCACAACGCCGGGCATCTAAGAACGTAATTGGAATGCGCAATCGTTCCTACCAGGAGAGGCTGCAACGACTGGGATTGTTCAGTGGAAGCTATCGCAGACTACGAGGCGACCTGATTATGGCATACTTGATTCTGCGAGACCCACATCATGTGTGCCGCCCTTTACTGCAACTCAGCAGCAATACAAACCTGAGGAGCCACTCATTAAAACTCGCAGAACAATACAGTCGTCTGGAGTGCCGCAGAAATTTCTTTTCCATTCGTGTCTGTCACCCGTGGAATGCTCTCCCAGAATCGGTCGTCTCTGCTCCGACACTAACAGTATTTAAAAGACGGTTGAACGATGCACTCATCCACTTACACTTTGTTACTTAACACTATGTCTCCATCCTACACCTGGAGTTTACCATAGAATTATTTGTTGTTAACTGTGGGTGCTGTGAATCTAAGTGGATCGCAGGACTGCAGCGAAGCAAACGATAATTCCTTATTTTCGTATTTAAAGTATTAACTATTGTACTATCTTCTTCATCATAATTGTTATGTTGATATCCCCACCAACTATCCAACGGGACTTGTAAAGCAACGCTCCTTAACCCGTATAAATTCATTGTTCATTGTTCATTGAACTCACCTCGGATCGATGTATGTGGGAAACGGAGTCAGGTGAACTTTGAGCCCAATGTGTTTTGACGCTGACACGCAGACCAGTTCCTCTGAGGTCAATTTGGAATTCACCCTAGGTAGTGAAATAAAAACTGCCACGTCAGAAGCCGTAGCTTGTGAGTTGGTTGGCGAATTAAAAATAATTCTTCCGCAGGTACAAAAATTATGGTTGCAAGGAATAAAATACTTCGCTTTGTTTTGTGTCACCGGTCAGTAGGTATGAAATGTAATAAATTATCATCCTCCAGTAAAGCAGGCTATTTTTATAAACTCAGAACTTAGTTACTATGGAGATAATCGTGTGACATGGCGAAACAGGTGGATCTGACTCAAACTGTTGCTTGGAAATCATGGGGTCAGGCAGTCAACCCTGTGGTCCCAGCATTTATACGCACTGTAGATGCTCAGTGAAAGCGCTGGCGCGGATCACCAGCAATTCGATGAACCCGAGGTTCTCGATGACGAGGAACAAGAAGTAGTTGGCAATCACACCTATCTTGGCAGCAACATTAGCAGCCCTGAGCGCGGCTGCTGAAGAATTGAGAAAACCATAACCATATTCTTGAATCTGCGATATCTGTGATGTTAGAATGAGACTGCGTTCGATCTGAGAGGTCGTGTTCACTGGTGCCCAATGAAAGCCATTCCACTCTATGGGAGTGAGACTTGATCTTCTCGATCAAAAGATCGTAAAAGTCTTTTAGTTTGTGATCATCTTCCTTAGGCAGTGCTACATATGTCGGATGGCACCAAAATGTCCTCAAAGAGGATATCCGAGGCGAACAATAGGTAATACAATCTGATTACTACCTTAGAACAGCAAATGTTATAGAATAAACTGTGTTGACTTGTGCATGTGCTACTTAATACCCGGGGAATTATCACCAATCAGCCGCTTTTTATTTTCCGGATGTAGGGAAACACAAAGCCCAAGGTGAGCAAAAGTTGACTTGGCGGCTGGGAATGAGGTCCCTGATGATTATACCGGTGCTTTTGGTGCGCCTTGCCTTCCAAGCTGAAGTCCACTTGACCCAACTTGTGCTTGATTTAGGATATTATTATATATGTTCTCAGCCAATTACATCCATTGATCTTTCAAATGCTTCCTTATGGAACTAATATTCAGCAATGGATCTCTGAACATGGGCATTATCGCTTTAAGATTGCATCTAACGGGAGGAAACGATCCTAAAAATGCGTATTGTTTTTTGAGTGACCAATCCCAAATCAGCTGATAGTATAACGGATGGGTACACTGAGTAGGATGAGTGGCAGCACTTGAACAAGGGACAATGATTTATCATGGGATAAAAGCAAGTGCTTGACACGTCCCGTAGGATGGTTGGGGTGAATATGATGAAATCAAAATATATCTGGGTCATCTACCGAACTTGGGGAGCTCGCGCGCGTTGGATGCAATTTGATAGCGTTGATGGCCAACTTGAGATGTTGATGTCGGAACTTGATTACCCCGAGGATGATTTTGAAAGTGCTATGGATTCATGTTCCGTAGTGAGCACCAGGGGTGCTTCTGCTGTCGTCTCCTAGTCTGAACGATGCTAAATTATCTACGGGTTAATGGTTGATTATGACCCGTGGCAGTGAAAGCTGTGAGGAAGCTGTGTCGCCAATGCTGCCTTACACGGTAGCCAGGTTAGTATCTTTGTGTGTGATTGTTAGGTTCGGCGGTCTGGTACCTTAAAACTTCAACGTCGTCTCCAACATCAGACCGTGAAGTTCACTCTCACCTACTGCTCTACTGTAGTTCACGTGGATGAGGCTGCCGATCATGCGATGCGACCTGTTTGACGTATCACATCTTTTCATATAATGTCGGCTGTCTTGCTTGTATCAAGTGAGTTGACATTTGGTCAGTACACTGTCCGATGCAGTGAAGTGTTTGTTCTGAAGACTTAACGCACAATCAAATTTTATTATAACAGTTATTGATAATTTGTAGGCACCTTGACTGAATATTTGCTTAGAGCATCCAGGCTACCAACTTCTTTTACCGGTTCTTGCCCCTAGGTCATTGTGCTGTACAGCAGCGAAGCATCAGTTAAAAGTACTGATGTGCTGTGATTGTTAGTGTTGTCACTGTTGTTATTGTTGTTGTTGCTGCTGTTGTTGTTGTTTCTGTCGCTGACGATGATGAGAGCGGTACGGTATTCATGGACACACTGCAGAGTGACGGTAGAGCAAGAGGTGCGGTGTCCCAAAGTGTTTGCACTCGTCATCAACAGTACCGTGAAAAGTTTAGCAGTAAGTTGAACCGAACTTACAATGCTACACGATAATGTTAAAACCAGCGTTTGTGTTTTGACATGATTGGAAGAAGTGAGACGTTGCGTTAAAACTAAACATCATAAACAGTTGTAAAGAGGCAAGGAGTCTAAAACTTGTCAGTGACTCTCAACCTCAGACAGCTGATTATCGTGTGAAGATAAGGTGGCGACAGCGAGGATTTCAGTGCGCAACCTCGTAATCAACGTTACTCTAATGGTAACACAACATTACTATATATATATATATTTATTTATTTATTTATTTATTTATTAAAAGGGAGGTGAGACCAAAAGATGACAATAAACACGTCGTTCGTGCATGCTACGAACCACGGCCATCGAGCTGTTGATTTGATTACAGAGTGGAACAGGTGAACTCCAGTTCGAAAGATAGGACTGAGTAACAGCGTCCAGTTTAGTAACTTGTGACTTCATTCCCAGCTGTCAAGTCAACTGTTGTCCTCTCTATCCTCGCACCATGCTGCAGATAACAAGCAATACAAAGTCACTTCCGATAGACGGCTAGCGTGGATATGTCGCCCGTGACCAAGCCAATTCAGCTTATTCAAATTTGTCTGTTGTTTTAAGAAACTAGTAATCTTAATTTCACCGCCAAATATTCACGTTCGCACCTCATTGTTGCGGACACTCCGGTGCCATTTGACAACGGCAGTGCGCTACAGGCCACATTGACCAAGGATTTATAGGCACTTTAAACCACAGACCGAAGGGGCAATTTTCACTCACACAGAGAGAAATGGCCTTGTGTCTGCCACGCATAAGACCAGGGAGATCCTCTTCTGGTACGAAGATGTCACTGGTTCTTGTATACTGTTGTGACGCTTGTAGTGCTCCAACTCACCGCAACGACCACGCGTTCATCGCTACTAGTCCAGCTAGCGTGAGTGACGATTTGATCAAACAGTTCAACTTCTCCGTTGTCACTACTAACGAGAGTAGCAAGTGGTCGACAGAGACGCAAAATTACTCTGAAATTTGAAGGCGCATAATGCTAGCCTAGAAACAGGACGATTAAAGGGCGGTAAGCAAAATTTTTCCAATCAGCAAGGGGTCATCATCTGCATACTTTAGATCAGGCTGTTGTGCCCAAGAGAGAACATCAATTCCTGCATCTGCAGATGTCACAAAGGAAGCCTCCAGGATATATTCCAGATTTAAGCTGAACAAAGGGTAGTGGGATAATTTTGGATGACAACGCTTATCAGAATAGCTCCCTATATAATTTCCGTCGTTCCTGACGTGATCCATGGTATTCGATTGCAATGCACATATCATGTTTCCGTATTTGAGGAAATAGATTTCCTGGAAAATATTCAGAACCCCAAGTGGCGATACAATAAATTCGACGTGCTTATGAAATCGGGAAACATAGATATAGCTGGCTCACAACACTTAGGAAGCTGATAGAATATCCACCGCGAAGAAAAGAAAAACATTTGCAGCCTAGATTGGAACGCAAAGTAATCACCCGGCTTCTGCATCGTGATGCAATCCAGATTTTATGTTGAATTCACCACGTCAGCAAGAATCAAATAATACAACATCTGATATAATTCAACGGTCTTTTATTAATGCTACTGGTCTGAGCAAAGCACTTGTGCAGTTGGTGAAGAGAACAAAAATCGCAAATAATCTTCTTGACGATGGTACGATTTCAAGCAGTTGGCGGATGAACGATTATCTGTTCATCATTAAAACGTATTCCCTGGATTATGGTAAGAACACTTACCGTTAGTTTTATCAATAACAGCTACTGACTATAAAAGAAGCAAAATGCGTCTCACTAATCACCACAACGAAGTATCATGGAGCTAATTGTGATGGGACTCTGCAAGCAAGCAGCAAGCGTGCCGCAAGCCAACATAGTAGTTGACTGGATGCCTGCACATATTTCGTCTACATGCTGATTGGTTCGCTGGAGTAGGTTCCTTTAACTGACTCAAAGGAATAATCTCATGAGTGCAGCAGCGTCGTTACTTTCGCAAATGACTTAGTTATCTGTATCGAGGTTCCTACATGCTAGTCCGATTGTCGTTTTTACTGAGATCGCTTTACTGAATAAACCGTTTGTCCATGAAGGACAGTTTTGCAATATGGTGTCAGAGAAAACCAAGCCACGATCACCCAGTGGTGCTCAGTTGCTGATTGAAGCGCAACCAGCTGTGCAACCAGCTGCCCCACCAAACATAGAAGAATAGAATTTAGTCCATAATTGGAGAATCTGGAAAAGCAAGTGGATCGATGTCTGAGTACCGGTTTGGCTGAATGAACAACCGATGGCGTATCGACTTACGATTTTTAGATCGGTGATGAAGCACGCCGCGTCATGGAAACCATGTAGTACGAAAAGGACGAAGACCCAGTTGATCTGGAAACGGTCGTCCGAAAACTTGGCGATTTCTGCGAAGGCCAGACTAACGAGAAATATCAGCGGTATGTCTTTTTACCCGAAGCCGGCGCCCAAACGAAACTATCGAGAACTATGTTACGGAACTGAAAATCCTGGCTCGTTCCTATAGTTTCTGCAAGTGTATTCCTGACAGTCTCATCCGAGATGAAATCGTGATGGGACTTTTGTTGCAACGGCAGTTATCATTCAGGCAATATCTTGATATATATCACAGTGAATCACCAGCTGCACACTACATCTAGCAAGTGCAGTTGCCGACTGAAGCAGAGCTATGTGCCGTATCCAGTTTACTTGACAAAGCTGCGAAGCCTGTTATCGACAACGCACGAAACTTGCAGATTCTGAGCCGCACGACACCCGAAGGAGCGCGATCAATGCTGGCGTGGGGCCGAGTTTGCGCCAGAGACAGCATATGGAATTTTTTCGCACAATATTCTCAGTCTTCGAAAATGAATACACTCAATCGTGAAACAACGCCCTCCGACTTTGAACATTCAATCAACAACATGTAGCGGACAGAACCAAAGAAGAGCGTCTATGCAAGTTTATTGTTTGGTGACAAATGGTTCGTTTCCATTTGGACTCCGGTGCTATCACTAACATTACTCCAGCGAAGCAGTGCTTAGGAATTTGTGTGCGACCTGATCAGGGAATTCCAAGCTCCAATCGTAAGGTTTGACCAAAATCAAAGTGATCAATCCCACAGACGGCTCTTCACATCAGTTGGATTTCGTGGTCGTGGTGGAAGACCTCAAGCCGATTCTCGGTATTGGTTCCATCCAATGTCTTGGTTTTATTCATTTTAATCATGGCCGTTTTGTGTATTTATGTAAAGCGGATACAGATGTTAGTGAACAGTATATGTCCGTGTTTAACACAGGTTTGGGGAGGTTTGAAGGCTCCGTTCATTTGTCAATTGACCCGTTAATACGACCGATAGCGCTGTCAGCTAGATGGGTTCCGTTAGACTTACGTAATAAGTTCGCCATCGAATTAATTAACTTGACGCAATTGGGAGTAATCGCTAAGGTAGACGAGCCGACTGACTGGGTTAGCCAAGTTGCGATGGTTAGAAAAAGGAACGGCGATTTGCGTCTGTGCATAGATTCTAGGTCGTTGAATGAAGCTTTGCGTAGAGAACACCATACACTGCCAACATTAGAAGCTGTCCTGCCGCGTTTAGCTAAGGTGAACTACTTTACCAAAGTTGATCTCCCATCGGCGTTGTGACACGTGGTCCTAAATGAGGAATCCAGTTTTCTGACGACGCTTAACACACACTTCGGACGTTTTCGCTGGCTACGTTTACCGTTTGATTTAAAGGTTTCGAGCGAAATTTTTCAAAAGCGATTATTGCAAGCTAACTACCTAGACGTTGTAACTTGTGTAGCAGACGATGTGCTGATTTACGGCTCAACCGAACAGGAACATGACGCCAATCTGCACCTCTGCAGCGTTGCGTGCAAAAGGACATAAGGCTCAAACGCGAGAAAGCTGAGCTACGGAAATCGGAAGCGATTTTTCACGGGCACGTTCTGATATCCGGGGGAATAAAGATTGATCCCAGAAAAATCAAGGGTGTGCAGGAGAGGCTACAACTTAAGGATGGCAAGGCTGGTAGTCGTTTAATTGTCACGGTGAATTATTTGAGCCGGTTCTGGCCAAGACTTGCTGAAATCATGACGCCCATCCGGAGACTGACTCACAGAGGTGCAAAGTGAAGTTGGAGAGAAGAGCAGGAGAAACCCTTTAGAAACATCAAGAGTCTTATTAGCTGTGCACCAGTATTTGGTTACTATGATCCAGCTCTACCTTTGGAGATGCAGTGTTACGGCAGCCAAAGCGAAAAAGGTGCCGTTATCCTGCAGGATGGTAAACCCTTGGAATTCCGCAGTCGGGCGCTGACAGTGGCGGAAAAGCATTATCCGCAGATCGAAAAGGAGATGCTTGCCATCATCCAAGCAAAGGAGCAATTCAACGACTACACATTTGGAAGGAAGAATACAGTGTATGCGGTCCATAAAACACTCGTGTCAATAGCTAGTGAACCGTTACACAGGGTCTCTCGGGGTCTTCAACGGATGTTTATCCGGCTCCAAAAATACGACATGGATCTGGTATACACTCCGGAGACTCAAATGTCTATCGCGGGTGCTCTGTCGAGAGCTCATCTTCTAATAGCCGAACACCAACAGGAATAATTCGAGGCAGTCAACCTCGTACATCTTGCGGTAACGGAAGATTGCCTGAAAGAGATAAAGCGTCATACGGAGACAGACGCGACCTGCGTGGAGTTCCGCGACGTGATTTGTAAGGATGGCCAAATACAAAGGATAAACTTCCGAAGAAATTAATGCCGTTCTTCAACTCCCGGGATAAACTAACGTTGTATGACGGTTTGCTGTTTAAGGGAAATCGGATTTTGACCTTACTGCCGCTTCGAAAAGAAATGCTAGAACACGCTCATCAAGCCCACTTGGGTATCAACTACAGTATTAGTAGAGCACGCGAACTGATGTTCTGGCCCGGGATGACAAATCAATTCCGAAACCATGTATCAAGTTGTTCAGCCTGCAGGTCCCACGACGCTCGCTAAGCCAGGGAACCAATGATGTTGCGAGAGATCGACCTTGGTAAAAGGTAGCGGTGGACACGCTCTGTGAGAACGGAAAAGACTATTTGGTTACTGTGACTATTTAATCGCAGTGACTATTTCGAGATCGATCCACTCACCGCTACTAACACAGAAGCAGTCATCAACAGGCTTAGATATCAGTTCACCAGACGCGGAATACCGGAGGAACTGATCTCTGATAATGGCCAGCAATTTACATGTGCTGCGTTCCAGACCTTCGCAAACAAGTGGGAATTTTCGCATCGAAAAACCAGCCCCTATCAGAGTCAATCTAAGGTAAAAGCAGAGACAGAGTTTACACAAGCCAAGCAGCTGTTATCGAAAACCAGGTCCACTCATGAAGACACGTAGCTAATGCTGTTGGAGATTCGCAATACGCCAGTACCGAACATCAGTCTCAGTCCAGTGCGACGTTTGTACAACAGAAGGACAAGTAACCTAATGCTTGCGTCTGCTGAATTTTTGCACCCTGTCCCGCCATCGCATGAGCTGCTACAAAGGTGCTTAAAAATGGACGGCCGATCAGAAACATATTACGACCGCGGGACCCAGGTGCTACCGTAGCTATCAGTAAATGATGAAGTGTGGATCTAACCAATACCGGGCGTCAGCGAAAGATGGAAGAAAGGTGTGGTGACCAAGAAGTTTGGAGAAAGATCTTATGAAGTCAGTACCAGAGGAAAGGTAAACAGAAGGAACGGAGTGCAGCTACTGCACACCGGCATGAGGTGAATCTGCAGCAAAACGCTTGACGCCTTACGTAGAGGCCAGAACGACGTCGGCAGCAAAGACCACGCAGAGCGGAAGAGGGTACGGAACCTTTGGCGACACCGAAGCAGCTGAACCCGAAAAAGGGAATGATGTGATAGGATTGTGTAAGCGAGCGGCGAGCATGCCGCAAACGAACAAAGCAGTTGATTGAACGCCTGCGCATATTTCGTCTACATGCTGATTGGTTCGCTAGAGTAGGTTTCTTTAACTGACTCAAAGGAATAATCTCATGAGTGCAGCAGCGTCGTTACTTATGCAAATGACTTAGTTATTTGTATCGAGGTTCCTACATGCTTGTCCGATTGTCGTTTTTACTGAGATCGCTTTACTGAATAAACCGTTTGTCCCTGAAGGATAGAGTAATGCGACACTAACGTTCTATTAGGTGAGTGATTATTTTAGTCAAATAAATCTTATACTGTTGCGTTATTGACATAACAAAATAACTTTCCCCAGATGGGGTGAGTTCAAAAGTAAGTTCATCGTATATTCATTCCCTACTTCTTTGATTGGGTTTAACATGAGAGTATTGCTGTTTTTTGCGAAAAATGCGAACGATAAAGCTGTTTTAATATTACTGGATTGTTGCCAGTGAGGTATATAATGCTCGCATAGTTACAAGAGAGTGCGAAGCAATGTTGATAATTCGCAACCTAAAATTTGATGCCAAGACACAGTCTGCTTAATGAATGGTCATATAATATCGTTCGAGAAGAGATGGAGAAGGCGATCATTATAGTATCTATACGATATACCAGAAAACATACCTGCGGACATGAGGAAGACCCAAAGCAATCTTTTGCTGTTGCGTACGGAACACTAGTTGGTCCAATCGTGTAGGCGAACCGAGTATCCTCGACTGCAAAATGAGATGAAATGGAGTGTTCCAGTGAGCGAGAAAAGCCTGACTGCAGAACTGTTGTTTGGATAGAATTTCATATCCCGTCGGAGATTCGGTACTGAGTATGTCACGTGGATTCTGCACTTATTATATAGCTTCAATCATGCAAAACACTATGTATATCCGCATGATGCAGCATTGTTAAAATGTGTAATATCATTGTATTGTGCTCTGAAGTCGGCTTGTTCAATACTGAGACACAGTTGAGACTTAGGCCTTAAAGCCTTGCAGCATGAAGGTAGCCTGGAGCTCTATAGATTATTGTAACACACTTGATGTACTAAACGTTCTAGCATATCAGATAACATCTCAACCTCATAAATGACTGGATTTTGTATGAGATATTAGATGAAATACGGGTAAGACGGACAAAAAGCAACGTACGAGAAAAGCGCAACCATATAGCGAAGGCTGATCATCCAAATCCGATGCGATGCTCACTAATGCAAACAGCGGAAATTAGCGTGAGAATTCAGTGCCACTGCGAATGCTTGAATCCAACTTTTTAACATCACACGATAGCTGTTATGTTTTCACATCTACTATCGATTTCAAATGTATCGTATAGTGCTGAGACAGTCAGAACTGTGAACCCCTTTTCTCCGTTGTTTTCACAAATAAGGACTCACCGTCTACTTTCAACGCCCGGACATCCAAGCGTATCTTTTGATAGTACGTGACGCTCGATAGATGGGGCAAGTAGTCACAATTTGGACAGTTCGCAGTGGTAACCTTCCTGTGAAACACCCCCTCAAATTCGGTGAGATTGGTCGTATCGATTGTAATGGGTACTTCTGCAGGAAGATGAAGGTTTCTTGAGGAGCTCAGTGAGTTTGTGTTGCTAGCTGAAGGACACCAGGGAGATGAAGCCGAGCTACAATGTGACACGGATAAAAGTGTAGATATCTTAGTTGATACATATGGTTAACTAAACGTTGAGAGATGGACAGTACCTGCATAAAAACGATAGATGCGCCGCAGTAATGACTGACGCGGTGAATCCGTATAATCATATTTCAACATACCAACGGGATATAGTTTCGATGACCGATGAACCCTAACAGTAAGTGGCTGTGTGGCAACATAACATCGATTTTCAAATCCTGTCTGACTTTTCACTTAGGGATAACCATGTAGGCGCGAATACCTTGCATACTCGAAATAACAACCCAAGAAATCGGCTCGTAATAGAAAATACTTACACAGAGGCTACTCCTAGAGTGATATCTTATTACTCATGGCCAAATGAATGTCGTTTTCTAACATTATTGTTTTTCGATTCGTTATATAAAATATCCCTTACTAGTAGATAGCAATGAGTCGGAAGAAGTCAGCGTGGATGACAGAGACAACTGGGAAAGAATGTGCGAGATTCCGCGACATTCTCATTATGAGTTCACCCATTGGGCTATCAGTCACCACTCGAATCGTTAACTCGTTTTATTTTTATGAAAACACCACCTACAAACTGATGCGATGGTCGTACAACCAGTGCCGAACAATAACAATCCTGCACATTGAAAGTAAGTTGAAGAGAATAGTCTGTTGATTTCGGTTTCTGAACCGTTCAACTATTGTGACAGTGACAGACAATGGAACAATGGTTTATAACAGTTAAAAAGCACAGACTTAACATGTCCCATGAGTTGGTAATAGAAGAAAGTGAAATGCAAATAGTACATAAGTGGACCAAGTAAAATACGCATCAGTGAGGCAAAGAAGTAATGGCGAATACGTAGTTCAAGTCTGGCAGCCATTTCTGAAGCACGACCTTAATGCAGTGGAGTAACCTCAACGTTGGGTTTCTAAACAGGTCATTAGAATGTGCCACCTTCCATACGAGCAGAGGCTGAAAAGTTTGGGAGTATTCAGAGGGCGGTAGCGCCGAATACGAGGCTACTTGATTAAGGCATACTTGAGTGTACACAATACAAATCAGAAGTATCTCCAAACTCAGAGGTCACTCCATGACATTAGCAGAAGAGTGCAGCCGCCTGAGGTGCCGTAAAAGTTTCTTTTCAATCCGCGTGTGGTAAACTAAAAGTAGATCTCCACATAGACGTCAGTAGTGTCTATTGAACACTCCGAGTGTCTTCAGTCGTTGCCGGTACGGAAGGTTGTGCAATCCATCGACGAATTTTGTAGTTCGACGCTGGGGAGTTTCGCGCTCTGTAAGGCCACGCGTTAGCCAAGATTGTGAAGCTTGGACTGCGTATTCGATGTTTGGATGCATGTGGGTATTGAGCATTAGAGTGAAGATGGATGAGTCCAAACTCCCGAATGCCCTCCACGACAGGCCAACATGCTGGTTACCGCTTTTTGCAGCGGCCACTGATTGTCTGGAACAACCAAGGCCGTCTTTTACCAGCACGCCGGTTCATGTTCCTGAGAGCTTGTCTGCAGATGTTGCACTCCAAGTTTGTGGATGTAAGGTTGTCGATGGTCAGTGTGGACAACGTCGCGCGTGTTTCCATCGAATAGCAGCGCGTTCCTCACCGACCAATTCCAGGTTTCATAGACGTCAAGCTGATGGATCTTGTGGTCGTCCACTTCCTTGATCGTCCGCCAAACCTTAACTTAATGCACGAAGACTAAAATCTGTGAGGTGTTAAGTCCCGCCAGATCGTTAATAAAGTCTAATAATAGGCGATTCCCAGGTACCGAACTCTGCAGTACGCCGCATTCTATTCGAATCGGATCAGACAAAGCTGTTCGGACTCTAACCTCCAGTTACCGTTCGAGGAGAAAGTTACAGATCTATCCTAATACTGGATCTTCGATGCCTTAGAGATTAAGTTTGTGCAATCGAATGCTTTCGAAAGTAGATATAGATAACATCGGTTCCAGTCTCTTGGTTGATTGTTTCACTCCAATTGTCGTGTGCTACCAGGAGATTCGTGTTACATGCTAGATGTTAGTGAAATCCGTGTTGCTCCGGTGCAATGAAGCCGTAGCTTCCCAGGCGATCCACCATTGCGTCAGCGATGATCGCTTCCATGACCTTGGCGAGCACAGGTAGAACCGTTACCGGGCGATAAATTGCAGGATCAGATCAACTTCTTCCCTTGTAAAACAGGGGCGATAATGCCCCGTTTTCACTTTGACGGAACTGCTTTCTCGTCTAGACAAAGCTGAATGAATCCGGCAAGTGGTTCGGCCATTCGCATGGTTGTTACCTGCGGTGCTTTGGGGTGAATGTCATATATTCTAGGAGAGCTCTGTGTATGCAAGCACCGTTTTTGTTGTGAACGTGATGCTGGGTAAAACTGGTGGTGTCATAACAGAAGCAGAATGGCGTTCAAGGATTGTACCTCTTAGAAAGTAGGTGAGTACTGGGTCCGTAAGGCGTTGGCCGCCTCCCTTGCTGTATATGTATAGCCAACAACTGTAGTGAGTAGTTGGATTCCGCGCAGCACCTTACTACTTCTATTCATATATGTGTAAAGAAGCCTTTTATCCGAATAGGATCGTTTCCCTAGCTCCTGCTGGTGTGTTACCTTGTCCTCACGAACCAACTGCATACAGTAGCTGCGCTGAGCTGCGCTACTCAAGTTTCTGCACTAGGATTGTTTTTATAAGGGCGCCATGCCCGATCCCTTAACGCAATAAATTTTCGTGCTTGACTTCTCAAATGGGTTTTGGTTTGACGAAGCTATAGAAAGCTTTGGCTCTGACGTGAAGATTTCCAATAATATTTTCCAGGCTATTTCTTGGATGCATTTAGTCCTGAATGTGCAACTAGCGTTTTCAACGAATGCGGATAGAATGTGATAGTGCGCAACAGATTGCATCCCTTCGGGCTCTGTTTCGGGGTATTCGGCGTAGCATATATAATCGAACAGTAGAGCCACTTGATTGCTTCGACCCAAAGGATTGCATACATTTAGCCCATCAATCATGAGCGCCTCGCTAGTGAGCATTAGATCTAACCTTGGCGGCTTGTTCACTGTTCTGATCCCGGTGGCAGCGTTGACGCGGTTGTAAAAGGGGTGCTATAGAATAGCTTTTGTAACTAGGCTTTGAACTGTTCTCCATCGGTTGCTAGAGTTTCCAGCTCATGGATGTTTTAATCTTCTGTAATTAGGATATTGGTGTATTTCTGATTTATCATAATGCCAAATGCTAATATTAGTTTGTGGTCCATCTTCGGAGTGGATCTGGATTGTCGGTAGACAACGGATACAAGGCATGTGTCCTGGTCCTCCAACCACAGTCTGCACAAAAAGAGATCAGTGAGACGCATTTGACGATCATCTATGAGCCCACAGCGAAAGTTTCTTTTGTAATAAATTAGCACTCCCCACCCCTACCCGTTCTGCCTTTCCGGCGAAGTGACATACTGGGTACAGCAATCTCAGCGTCGATAATCTCACAGTTCAAGCATGTTTCGATGATCATCATACTATCTCGAAGCTTAGAAGCTTGACTGTGACGGATTTCGACCAACTTATTATTAAGACTTGTTCGTTAGCATACAAACAGGTCAGTTTCCCAGTACCCAAAAGTGAGTTATTGGACGTCGAACTAAGATCAGAGATTTTTGCCGACCGTTGAGGGGTCGGCCACTAGTCGTTCATTTTTTGATTATTCTCCGGCCTTTGAAATTCGGTTGAGTTATGCTACCGCTCTAGGGTGTCCTGGCCCTAATGGGCTCCTGTGTCTAGTCTTATTCCATCGGATGCTGAGGTTGCCAGTACTTTAGTCTACTTACATATTTATATGAGAAGATTCGCGAATTTTGCTATCCCCAATGAGTCATTAGCCACTCGTGGCAGTATGCCCGGTGCCTTTAACCATTTGAGTCCTGAATTAATTTACCTATAGCTCAAAAGGAACTTCAAAAGTTTGCTCTACACAGTGTAGAGCAAAGTATCGCAAATCTGGACCTTGGTTAATTGTTGGCAGAAGGTTATTGTACATATCCTCGCGAGTACCGGCATGAAGGAAGCTTGCACTGAAGCAATATTACAATTTAAACAAAGTGGTACTTACAAATACCGTCAGGACATAAAGGATTAACCGGAATTTCTGTAGGCAGCCTTTTGCAAGATTTAGACCAGTTTTCTAAGACAAGCGGTGCTATTAACTCAGACTGAAGCATCACTTACACCAGCCTGGGACCTTGCCTCTTGTGATGCTGAAATACTTGTCAACTGCTTACCAACGATTTGTCGAGGGTGAGTTCTTGGCAGAGGTAACTCCATTGCATCCAGGTATATATGTGAATTATTGGCAGTTTGCACTACGTCAGTCACCGTCTCAATCATGCGCCAACTACTCAGCAGAGAACTAAAAGAAAGGTGCCGAGAGCAAGCGTATGAGAGCCAAAGTTACTTTTTCACAGCCGGCCAAGTCTACCTCCACACACACACAGTCCAACTAAGACCATACCGACGCCACCAAAGATTAAACAAATATTGTGGACGGATAAACATTGGGTGCTATCCACCCAAATACCCTGAGCTCCAAGACAAGTTTCGAACTCATTTGCTCTTATCAAGCCTCGAAACCAAAATCATTGGGATGTCAGTCGGAGATGTTGATTATCTAAACTTTAAAGTGATTTTTTGCATAGACTGAAGTTGTTTATCACAGTTCATGCACAGATGATACGCTTCAAAATGACCCATCTAATATTTTGCGATCCTTTTGTTGATGCGGAACCCGTTCCTGTCGGTCAATCGCTCATGAGAATTTGTGATAAGCATGAAGAACAAACAGAAAAGTGTTAGTGGACAGAGCATAAACCGTTCAAGTTTTAAGCCAACCGTCTAAAATACCAACGCTACAAAGTTCATGCGCTCGTTTCCGACAGCAGTAAAAGGTGACCCAGCAGAGTTAGCTACTGAGAATGTCATGTCTGGCGGATAGGCACCTAATCAGCTTTTGTGTCTCAAGCAACCACACTGAACGCATCATATGGGAAGAAAGATCTGGCAGGCGATGACATTCATTTCACACCCTGCTGCGGTACCGGCAAGTAAACACAAATGCACTCAACGGTATACAGTTTGGCTAGTTCCGCACTGGTTCTGTGAATCTAAAGGCAGAAATAAAGAGACAGGTGACGTCTAGAGAGCGCCTGATGCCAACGTGAGGACCCGGCAGCAAAGGTAAGAAAAATTTTAAAAAAGTTGCCGCATACTTATACCTCTGTGTTTAGACTACGGTTCCGTCAAAGTGGCGAAAAGGACGCGCTTTTGATGCAAAAAAGAGATTACAACTGATGATTCATGAAAAGCTATGTCGAACTGGACGATAATTAGCAGACAGAGAATGACTTCCTGCGATTAGTCTTGCATTTCTATCTGAACCGCTTATAGTAGGCGATGAGGTACTGAGCACCCAGATCCTTAGGAAAAATAATAAACGTACGGTGACATGAAAGCCCCAGTTCGCGCGTAGTTCACTCGTTGAAGCACCACGTATTCTTTAGGGTTTGAGGTATCCATATCCGCACAGAATATCTACAATGAAGTCAACAAGAAAGGAGCAAAATAATATTGCCCTACTCACTTTAGCCAAATCACCTCGATTAAAAGATTGGTTAATGGTATAAAACAGTAACACGTTGCTAATATCCATTGCTTGTACATAAAATGCGTGTTGACAAATAGCGTGGAGAATGATTTATTGATACAAATGTTTTGCACCGTTTGAACAGAAGTTTAGTTTCAGAATCTTCTTCGTGTCTGCGATCTAATTTGACTGCGTGTTTCTGTTCTCGTGGGCATGACATCAACGACAGATGCGGCCCTTAGAAGAGCCTGTGCAAAGTATCCAAGAATAAGTTATGAAGACAATGCTGCGGTGATGATCTCAGAAGAAACAGATAAAATACTAACAAGAGGAATAATAGGTGAAGCAGCCAGAATAGCCAAGAAACGGAACAAAGATCTACAGAAAACATATTTTTAATCGCTATACTTGGATACGTTGCTTACGGATGTTGGGACGATCCCGATGAAAATTTGGAATGTGCCATCTTTGGGATTTGTATGAAGCTTCCGAATTTCCGAACAACTTCGAGGAACACCTGTAGGTAAAAGAACGAAACTTCTTAACTGACAAAACTGTTGAAAAGCCACAGTATCTAACAAATCGGCTGCACAGTGTTGGCCAATAAAGCTCATACTAGTGTGAAAGGAAACAAATCAAGTAATCACCAAAGAACTTATTAAACAACTACATCTTAGGAAGTACGGAGGTTGAGGACATGAATATGCGGCTCGGATCTTGATAGAGCCGATGGATGCGCATTACTAACGAGTCTCAAAGGGACAAAACGTCCACCTAGTGCTCTCCCAGGTATGTGGATGTCCGATTTGGAAGCTGCTACAAAGAGGTTGCAAGTATTTACATCAGAAGTCCCGTAATAATGATGACATGTGATAGAAATACATATGTATTGACAGCGTTTCACTCCAGACTGCATGTTCAATCAACAATGTGCACAATAACATGCGTGATTCATACTGACTAGAACTTCAGGACCAAGAGTCTTAATGTTTCGAGAGCAGACTATATGAATCAAGATTCCCCGCGTTTACCTTTTATCGGCTACGAAAAAAGTGTTCACTGCGAGAGAAGACTCAGGTTTCTAGGTGCAATCATTTCTGTTACAAGAGTACACATATGTGAACATAAAATGAAAGCATTCCTGAGTAACAAAAGTAACTCACTCATGCATCGGTCTGGGCACAAATCCCAGTTCTTAGGCTTCAAATGTGCCTGACACAAGGAATCAGAGTACTCCTCACCAAACGGATCGACACAACGAACTCGGCGATACCGTGTTCGAATACCGCATCCTCGAGGACACTGAAAGTTAAGTAAAAGAGCTATACTGTTGTGAAAAGACACTGGATGAGAATGGAAGTTTATATATTCGATGCTTAACTTCCAAACTATTTAGGCTTAAAAGGTCATATCGTTAAGCTTAACTAACATTTGACTGAGCTTAAAACAAAATCGAGAATCAAAAACGATTGGGGATAGCCGAATGCTCATCATCGTAACAACCAGGTGTCTTATGTTTTTTTCCTACTAATAAGTGAATAAACTCAAATTAAAGCATCAAAATCTGAAAGTTATTTGTGTTCTCTGAGAAAATTGCCCCAAAATGCATAGTTGCAGTTGCCAGTGCCATTTTAAGGATCGATATTTTTGTAATATATGAGTTGTCCCACTTCGGTGGCAGAATTTGCCATGAAATAATGCTGGATTAATAACCAGCTTTCAATAAATGTGAGGTGTCACCTACTAAATATAATAGCATCATAGCTGTCTATTACTCTTTGCTACTGATTGTGAAAGAGAGCTACTTCGATTTGTACAAGGTCGAATAACTAAGCCGTCAAGTTTTATCTTTCGGAAAATTGCGACAGAATCCCGCGATGGAATATGCTTATATTCATCAACAGAACCATAGCCAAAGTGGCCAAGGCCAAAGTGGTAGTTAGAAATATGCCTTTATATGAATGTGAGGAAGCCCTCCCCCAACACTTCTTCCAAACATACTCAGCTGATCCCATCAGTCAGTGCAGTGAATTTTTACTATTAATATGAACTTACCACATAGTTAAACTGTGATATAACTTGCTTACATGCAGACTCCACATGCCGGAGTGGACACTTTCCAATTCTGTGTTGAATGACACCACTTGTGAAAGAAAGCTGTGTACCATTCGATCTGTCCGTATGCAGAAACAGTCTCTCGCATTGCTGAGTAATAAAACAGCTATGTATTTAACTATTTAAATGCTCTTTATTTCCTGACTACCGGAGCCCATCGGTAGACTGAAATCATAATTGGCCACTGTAAGTGCTGAGGATATTTTATGCCCTGTCAGCAAACGGAGGACATTTGTCGGAAAGTGACAAGGCTAACTAGCATCGGCAACCAAATAACAGGTTGGTACTTAACTCCATCGTTTCACTAAGGGTCAAAGTTTCAAGCCAGACGGAGTGCACCCGTTTGGTATTTCACTCAAGGGTTAGACACAGGTCACTTATACGGTTGTCACTGTTAGGGATGGAGAGGCTTCCACAGAACCGGCAGCAGTCAAACAAATCAATAAAGTGTGAGGTATTTACGCGCAGGATGCCAAATTTGGTGACAGAGAACCAGAGTGGAAATAAAGCCCACAGTAAGTAGAGTTAAAAGTAAGATGGAGCTTTAGCGAATGCCATCAGAGATATCATTTTTAAGAGCAGAACCATTGTTCGTGGAGGATAAGATGAAGGGATTTTTGGAAAACGGCGTCCTGAACTTTGATGTCACGACTGCGGTGTTGGGTATCGAGTTCAGTCCAAGGCTGAGCCACACTTGGTGGAAACTTTCTCATGCGTTCAGGCAAGCAGTTGATGGTGCAGTACACGTGAGTTGCTTGATAGAAAAGAGTGATTCGGTGCACAGAAAACTTGGCGATATGTACAGGTAATCTACCCACCGATCAAAGGAGTCGGAGGGTTTGCAAATAATTAAGATAAGTGATCCTACCGCTAAATAGAGGTTTTCCTTAGGTTCCGATACTCTGTCTATGCATTCAATTATGTCGCCTCCATAAAATATTAACTAAAAGTATACTACTGGTCTGATAGCAATTCTCAAGCTTTGATAATCGAACTGCTCAAGAAAATCATCAGCAACGGCTACTTATTGTTATGGCGCACGTATAGCTAGTCATATCCTTTTGAAATGCAGTCGAAACTGAATTATATTCCTTTTTTGTAATAGAATACAGATATTGAGGTGGCTGTACTTGCCAGCTGATGGCGACCTATGATGATCGACAAGGCATCCGTAAAACGATGAAATCAAAACGCTGTTTCGACTCCGAAGGTAGGAAAATCGAGAGTTTCTGTGGTGTAAATTAGGTTTCCTCTTCAAATAACCTCGGTCTATTGAGCGATGTGTTGCGTACATGCAGCTAGCGTAGCATTTATAAGCTACCAGCCGTTGGATTAGTTCAGTTGGCTTGACCCACTTTATTTCGATCAAGCATGCGTCAGTAAAAGACGATTGGAAATTTTCGGATAAGAACCGAGGCAGTAATGCCTAGGAAAGAAACCACTAAGCGACTTGAAGTTAACTTCAGAGCTACAATCTCTCTTGTTAATTCAACAACCATCAAATTTTGGTCATTTTGAATCACTTGGTGTGCGGATAGATTGTGACACTCAATCTTAATTTGGGACAGGATTTATATTGTGTGAACTTTGGTCAACTAGATCACTGGGACTGTGTTTGGGGACCAACAGCACCTGAAATCTAGCTACCACCTCAGCTACAGTCCCAGTGACCGAAATGGCCAAGGTTCGTGTCAATGAGAAGTGTGTCACGTCGCAATCCATTTATACAGAATGACCCACCAATCAGTCATTAACCTTTGTGTCAAGTGTTTCCCGTCGTCCAAATGACCCAGGGTTCGATTCCTGCTATCTCAACCTAATGAGATTAAACAATTCGTAACTAGTCTTGGAGTGCAGTGTTTTATGGGCGGAAAATATCTAATAGCAAACTGAACCATTCAAAATATCTGCACAATAGCTGGTATGAACACTAACGATTGGAGATATTTGGGGATCTATGGAAACAGTCTGATGAAGGGCGTTCTGAACAGGCATTCTGTAGTTAACTGTTTGAGATGGGCCGGGGACTAGGTTCATTTGATATTCGTCACAGCTTTACTCGGTTAGACAGCCGCCGCGCATCCCTAAAACGCAGGTTGGTTTTTACTGTGTAGTTCTCGCCAACAACTCATACTTCTTCCACTAGGTGTGGGTTGCAATTCACTGCACGCTATGTTGAATTCAGGGGCGGGGACACCGGGGTCACGAACGAATGGAAGCACCTGTCGTGACACGTTAGTAACCATGATATAGCGCGGTACTCATCATCAAATACACATGGCGTTCTCATTGTAAACAAGACAGGGCTGGTTATCAAGAACAAGTTGGTCTTTGTTCATCCACCATTGTCCGAGAGCATGAGAAACTAATTTGGGTGACTGCTGATTTTTGAAGAAGAATGCAACTATTAATCTGCATTGATATGATTTGAGAATAATTGCAATAAGACTCAGTTACGTCTCATCATCATCCGAAACGCTGCGAGCTCCCATCCCAAATCACCAAGAATTTGGTAGCGCTATAAGCAACTTCGAGTGTTCATTAACTGTTCCCAAAGCCGCTAAGCCACGAGTGGCGGCGATGGAATGATGACCGATTGCTTGTTGCGATATGACGCAGCTCTTTCTCAACTGCCATATTACGTTCTTTCTGAGGAACGCACTGATTTTCCTTGGAAAACTGCCAGTAAACTTGTAAAATTTTAAACCAATCAGGGTGATTACAGATTGTGCCAGATGGGTTTGAAAATGTTTTGAGGGGCACAGTGATATAAAAACAGTTTCAGTTCTTACAATGGCAAGCCAGTTCATTGGTTATACTTTGGGGTAAGTAAGCGATCGACAAATTAACATTTTAGAACAGAAATAATGAGGCGATTCCAGGATTTTAATTAGCAAAAGTGCGAAAGGATCTCGCAAACAACAAGTGACTAACTTATTTCATATTTTCCAGCACCACGGATAAGTGCCTTACTAATGCTTGAAATGGGGTTGCTGGTATTCGATTTGGGACACGAAAGTTCCCCCTTCCGAAAGTTGACTGACCCACATGGCCTTGGTGAGCATAGATAAACGCTTTAAATGGCATATTGTTATGAAGACGACGTGCATTGGAGTTGATCAAGTTTCGTCAGTACAAGCATCCAAAGTTTCAACATGCGATCCCATTCATTGTTTTCCAATAGTTTGGAGTTTACATATACTGGCAAAATTTCAGACTGCCTTTCGTATGCGCATCAGACATTCTGTTGGCAGGAATAAACTGTTGCATCTGTCCGACCACTAGAAAGTGGAGTGTGATAAATTTCGATAGGAACTATCTAAAGCGATCACATAGATTTCGTCCGGAATTGGTATTGCAAGTGTCAGATAGCTGCCCATCGTATATCAGAAGAACAACGTGATGAACTAATCTATCTTCCCTAAGCACTGTTTAAAGCAGAAGAGCTTAGTCTCCTTTTTGGTTAACTAGGTACTTTGTGGGATCACACGCCATGATGTTTCTTTGAACGCAAAGTAATTATTAAGTTAACATTGCATCGACATACAGTGAAACCTCCGAAGCTGATCACTTCTGAATCCAGAACATCTCTGCAATTTGACCGAATTTTCCTTCATTGCTTGGTCCAGACCACCGTATTTTGACCGTCTTTGTAGGTCGACTACTGGTCCACTCCCTTAAGTGGTCAACTTACGGAGGTTTTACTGTATCCTGGAGTCATGCAATAATGTGTGTTGCCATAGCGCACAACAACATCCAGTTTCGGTTGGATGACCGCAACATAGTCAAGTGAAATTAATCATTGATTTTGCAGTTAAAGGACATTACCATGTGAGAATATCTGTACTACTCACCGAACTCCATGGATCTGCGCTCCAATGAAATTTCATGCATTTGAAAGGAACGCAAGGTGTCCAAGTGGTCGGATGAGTTATGTGCTGGCACGACGATTCCGAAAGTTGTCCGTGGGATGAACTTAAGCACTTGACCACACGACTTCGTCTGCCAATATCACACGTTCTACTGTCGCACTGAACGTGTGAAAAACAAATATCGGAAAGTTTTTTAAGTACACCACATTTATGACATTAATGTACGTCGTTTTTTCTTTGTTTCTGAATGCATCACTGGGTGCATAAAAATACTACAAATGAGAACCACGATGAAGGTAGCATTGCTATCATCCAGGCTGATCGCAACAGCAGGATGACGTAGCAAAGCTTCGCAAATGGATATTCTGAAGAATAGTACAAATGTAGTCCTCACCCATGACTAGTACATTGCTCCTATCAAGTTACTGCTAAATACCATTGCTGTCCAGTAGTTTTAGTGATTCTTATTCTTCGGTGAATTAGAAATAACATTGACACGTCGCTGTACAGTATCATTTTCAGCACTGTCCATTTTTGTCCCTCATGCAGTGTTGTATCGAGCACCCATGTTTAGTTTAATTATACACACACATGTCCTGCTTCCGTTGATGTTGCCAAACGTGGTTCGATGTATTCCGGATAATCTACATATACGCATATAAATCAGTTAGAGCCACAAGAAAGTGGAAAGACTGTGCGACGGAAATGAAATACTGCTTCCCATTATGTCTACTGTCTGGCTTGTCAGCGGTTTGAGTGGAAATGCCAACGAAGTAACAGTCTCATCTACAACACCGTGCTTGTCCCGGTGCTGTCATCAAGGTGGTCTTTGCAAGTTCCAAATGCCATAAGTAGAAAGGTTGACATGAGTTAGTGTTTCCTCACCTCTGACACCATTACAGGCCACCAAAATGGTTGGCTTCCAGTGCATGGTCGCGTTTTACAGGACATTTCTTCCACAGGGGGAGGAGCCAGACAAGATGGTATTTTGGAATTTGTTTCGACAAACTGGATAATTGAATCCAGTGTGACACCATGATGGACTGTGTGCTTCCCATTTCGCTTACTCCAAGAAGACTGTGAATCGTGAACCAGTGTGCCGTTGGGGAAACGACAGTCAACTTTTCGTACGCGTTGCCCAACTCCACAATGTACGGAACACTATAAATAATGGAAAATTTCCGTCAAATACGTGAGCAAATTTTCCGACAGAATGGCTGCACAAAATGATGTATTAGAGGAAACGAAATGGGATCAGACCAATGAGCATTGCTGGGAGTTTGGGGAACCTACCGGAGACCACTCGCCGTAAAACCAAAATGGACAGCCACTGGTTATCAGGCACAATCGCTTGGTGCTTGGTTTTGCGGAGACGGCCTCACATAATTCGGAATTAACCTCTCTAAACTGTTGCACAGACCGATGTGTCCTGGTGGAATAAGACCCATGAGATCCGGCGAATAGTAGAGTGTGAGATCGCTCTACCGATGGGTTTGTGCTGGCTGGCGGAGAGGTATACGCATCCAAAACGCATCGAACATGCCTATGTTGGACACCATATTCACAAATTCCATCACACTAAAAAGAAGAAAGAGTCCAAGTTAAGAGAAGTGGTTGGCATGAAAACAAAGTGCATGCAGAAAACGAAAAAGGAGTTTGTTTTATAATTTGTCGACCTGAATGAAAGCATAGGGCGATTTGTGGCCAGGCTGAAATCAAAACAACAATGATAATGTTGCTTCCAATTTTGACGTTTTTCATTCCGCCGCTTATTTACTGTCCACTTTGCGAGTACAACTTCTTTCGTATCCTGTGTTTGTTGTTTAATATCCCCTGTGCGGCTGCGTTTGGTGTGAACCTTAAAAAACTGCCACCTAGACTATAATGGCTCCAGCAGACAGTTGAACTGTATCTGAGGAGACGGAGTGGCTCCATCCAGGGTAGAGCGGGTTACGGTATAGCCACCGCCTTTTGTACGTCTAGTACGCATGACCACCCACATAGACATGCAGATATGCTGCTGCTATGCGTGTAGAAGGACTGTGAGCTGCCTCCGTTAAAGAAATGTGGATCTAATGTAAGTGCCGCGCAGTCTTATTCCTTTGAGTTCACAATGGATATGGGGTATGTGGATGGAGTTGTAGTGGTGCAATGCAAGCCTCTCGTGGTCTCTCTGTAGGTGCAGGCGTCCTGTGGCTATCCTATGAGGGCCGTAGTGACAAGTAAATCCAAAATCGGATGCCGCTAACCAACCTTATATATATGCGGTTGGTTTGCGATCTCTGATTTCGGATGAACAGTATTATGCGTGTCGGTTCGCAGGTGGGTTGTGATCCTCCAGTTTAAATTAACATTTTAGCGAACTTTGCTTCTACATCATAATATCCGGTGATAAGTTGTGTTTCAAGCAGAGGTATTCGAGGATAGTCTAACTTCTCAAAAGCGTTTGTTCGCTTAGACCACCGAATTCTCCTACATAAACTTCAGCTCTATGGATTTGGTGACCCACTGCTGCGTTGGATAGGCAATTGCCTGCCAGAACATCATTTGGAAGTGAGAGGGTGAGAATCCTTGTCCGAAGCAATTGAGGTGGAGAGCAGCGTACAAAAAAATGTCACCCTGTCCAATTGCGCCATAGGCATGACTGCGTGTACAGTCAGCCTGACGGAACAAGTTCGATGAGCGTGTTCATTTACCTACCATGGCTCGGTTATGGTGAACGCCGGTCATTTACGGTTGTTGTCCCCAGCATCCAATAGCCATCCAATGTTTAGCGAAATTCGCAACATGCTACTGCTCTTGTAGCGACATGAACTTCTCTCTCATCTTAGTGGTGAGGACGTAAGGAATTCTCGGCAGACGAGTGACTTAGTGCAGGGCTCAGCTGAGAAAAAGCCGAAGCTCTAAAGATGCACCGACATGAGGCTGTTTTAGTCATCGAGCCAGATGAGTACAGATGGCCACAACATGTTTCGGGAGTTCGTTAGCTGTCAGCTAACATCGCGCTGAGTGAAGGTCATGGACAACCGTAGGCGTTGGAGCGATCGATGGATAGCTCTGTGTATCTCGCTGGCTACGCAGCGAAGTCGGTCTAGGCGACCAACGTGAATGTGCGCACGTGATGGCAGCTCAGCTGGGGACGAGGTTAGGCGGTGCAACTCATGTCAATGTTATTGAACCACAGGTAATTGAGCACGAGCAGACATTGCAGTAGGGATCACGCAACGTGCCTGTTACTCAGCGCGCGCTGATTATTCGGCTGTACGGTGAATGCGGTTTAAACGCCTCATCAAGAAAATACAATGCATTGAACGCAGGAGTGCGTCCCGTCAACGCCCGGTACGTGTTTAACTAGTGAAGTTCGAGCAAAATGGGAGTGAGTGTGACATGAAGAGAACCGGACCGCCTCGCATCACCACGAACGACTGTTCAGTTTGCGCTGTAGTCAGTGAATTGTCAAAAAGTCCCGATCTCAGCATTCGTCGGATCGCACAGCACTGTGACACGACCCGATATACGGTAAACTGGATATGATTGGAACGAAAATTTCGGAGATTCCGTGCACTTCAAATGCAGGTTTTGAACCCATGAGATCCGCAGAAGCGATATGAATTTTGCTGCTGATTTCTGGATCACGGGGATATTCGTTCTGTTATCTTTACAGATGAAGTGTTGTTTCATCTGCATGGAACAACGAAACATTACTGTTGGGCTACCAGCAACCCACGAAAATTTAACGCATCACGTATGAACCACAGTGTGAAACTGATGGTTTGGGCCGGATTAACAAGCCAGAAAACCTTGGGTCCATATTTCTTTCCCGGTAATGTTACCGGTAGGTTATTGTTTTAAAGTACTAAAGCCTTATCTTTTCCTAGCATCGTTGTACTTGGAAATGCTACAGACATTTGTGCTTCCCCAGTTAGAGGCCGAAAGGGCATGCAATACCAGTTGGTGGCAGCAGCATGGTGCACCTGCACATTGTGTTAAAACGGTGCGTGCTTACCTCACCAACAGAGTTGGCCACCGTTGGATCGGACGCGGTGGACTAATGGAGTGGCCTGCTCGCCCACCAGATTTGAACTCCATGGACCTTTTTCTGTGAGCCTATCTGAAGCGGCGAGTGTACAAAACAAGGCCGCGTACATTGGACCAAACGGAAGAAAATATTGTGAACGAATGTTGCGCGATCACGAGGGATTCATTGGAGAAAGTGCCCCCCAATTGCATCAAGCGGTTTCTGCACTGCAAGCAGATCCCGGCGGACATTTTGACCATATCCTTCACTAGCATAGATGATCGCTACAATACATTTCTGTTAATATAATTATCCTCTTTCACAAATGTGTTGACGACATACTGGTCCGCTGGCAAATGGTGCTATTGATGAGTCCGGTCGGATAGAATTCTTAACTTCCAGGCTGTCGTTGAGCACATAAACAGCGCAGGCACCGAAACGTTCGTTGGCTACTTATAATGGAATCACTGAGTCGTTATGTGCTGAGGTTCGTCCAGTCTTAATGAAAAGTCGACTGTGTTGTTAACTCAGTTTCAGGCTATTGCTTGTGAAATTGGTGTTCGGGATGAGTTGCAGTAGGTGGCAACACGTGTACGTGGGGTCGTTCCGTATCTGGTAGACTGATATGAGGTCTCCACGTAGCCACCTGTAGCGTCTACTGAACACTTCGAGTGTTTTTAGTCGCTGCTGGTACGAAAGGTTGCACAATCTCTTGATACATTTTGTAGCTCGACCATGGTGAGTTTCGAGCAATGCAAGGTCACGGTTTAGCCATGCGTGCCAAGCGCGTATTGCGTATTCGACGTGTTAACGCACGTAGCCATGGAGCATCAAAGAGAAGCTGAATGAATCCAAACTTTCGAATGCCATCCACAAGCAAACAACGTGCTAGTTACTACTTTTGGAACGGATTCCAACTGTCTGGAATAGCGGAAGTAGTCCTTTACCAGCACACCGAGGTCAAGTTGCTAAGGGCTTGTCTGCAGGTCATATGCCTCAATTTTCTAGAGATAGGCGTGTCTATGGCGGATGTGGACAATGTGTCACTTGACCATATTTAATGGCAGTGAATGCCTCACCGGTCAGTGCCAGCTCCCATCTAGGTCGCACATGGAAGATCATGTGGTCGTTCATTCTATGGATCGCCGGCCAACCTTTAACGTCATCCGGAAAAGTAAAATTTTTGAGGTGATGGCTCCCGCAAGGTCGTCGCACTCCACTGGATTAGGCTCAGGCAGAGATGTTCGGACTCTAACCTAGAACTGTTGTTCAAAGAGAAAATTACCAACCCATCCTAATAATGAATCGCCTAGGTTTTCCAAGTAGCCTATTATTACGTTAGCGATGATCGCTTCCATGAATTAAAAAGTTCAGAGAGAAGTGTTACCGGACGGTAATTGGTAGGATCAGACGGACTTCTCTGAAAGAATACGGCATGTGGCTGGGCTAGGTCAATGGCAGTTGCTTGCAGTGCATTAGGGTGAAAGTAATCCACTCCAGGAAAACAGTGTGTATGCAAGGATAGTAGCTTATTTAGAACCATTTTTCCTATGAATTTGAGCTGGATAACACCGGTAGTGTGAGGACAGAAGCAAGTATAAGGATTGCAGCTAGTACCCCTAGGACATTAGACCAGTACTGGGGAATGAGGGGTTGTCCAAATTTTTGTTGTGTGTGTATAACCACCAATCGTACTAAGTGGTGCGATTCCATGCTGCAGCTTTCGAAGTGCATTCACCTGTCTGTAAATAAGGCTGTGGTTCGAAAGGAATTGTTTCGCTAGCTACAGTCGGTGGGCTAAATTGTTTTCAAAAAAACTGCACGTGCTAAATGCTCAGAGATACGTTCGCTGTCTCATTCTCCGCGTCAAGAATGTTCAAATAAAAATGCAATATAGTCCTTCAAGGCCATAAATCTTCATGTTTGTCTTCTCATGAGTAATGTTGATATCATGGGGTTCATGGTTTCATGGCTAAACGCAGTACATATCACATCTCTACTGTAAACTGAGTACTATATTGGGGAAGCAATTAGACATGAGAATATGTACTACTCCATCGAGATATGCTTAAAAACTTTAAAAATCAAACTACCTATAACTTGTCAATGCCCTGATCGTTTTTCACGTTCTCACATGATATTGTAAAAAGACGTGTAGCTAGCAATAATTTGTGACTCAAAAATGTGAACTCAGTGGGCAATCGCTCTCGGAACCTAACATTTGAGATATGCACATTCAATGATCGTTTGAACTGCTGCACTGAGTTCGCCTCCACCAAATGCTCCGGCTAACTTCTCCGAACATTGCCCACTCTCCATTCCAAGCACAGTAGATGGGGGAGTCGCTTCAGATCTGGAACCACACGCTTGTATTGGTATCCGCATGCATTGCAAGGCGTTCACAAGGACAACCATCGCTTCAGCATGGGGAAGTCACCTAGATGTAGAATTCGGTAGGTTATGATGAGGTCGTTTTAGCAACCAATGGTAAAACAGAGTGTATAGCCCCTGCCCAGCGCACTTGTCCTCGCACCGTGAGCCCCGCAAATCGATGATAAGC